GTCTATTCTAGCTGCTCAACACGTGTTACAATTTTTCACTTACATTGAACTTCAAGGTTTGCGCTTGCGTTAACAGTTAAATCCAGTCCATTGTCTGCTGTACACCAGTATTTTCCAGAATCATTTCTATTCGTCAAAAAGATTATTATGGCTCCACTCCCCACAATCTTTCCATCCTTGGTCCATGTGATGTTTGGAGTGGGATTACCAGTGGCGTTGCAACTGAATTTTGCTTGTGAAAATTCCATCACAGTCTGGTCATTTGGTCGAGTTGTCAAACTTGGTTGGTCTGTGAACATTTATAAAGTAAACTATTGGCCTTAGCTCAAACGGGTCTCCGGCAGCTTAGTGGTAGACCGTCTGGACTACTAACCAGCTTAGGATTAGATCCTTTCGGTCTAAGCTCCCTTGGACACTTTATGAAGTTTCCGCAACCTATAATCATCGTCAAAAGTGTTGGGAAGGTTGCCTTTTTTACCTCTTCTTTTCCTTCCTCCCACCGCCCCTTGCCCAATGTTGATCAAAACGTTAATGTTTGTGCGTGTATTTGTTCTGTTATATGCCAACATTGAATAGGGGGGACGGGGATATTTAGCAAAAGAGAAAACTCTCTTTTTTTCAGGATTAAAATGGACTACTGTTAAGTTGTGCAACCTTCCCAACTACTTTTGTCTGTGATTGTAGTATTCCTTATCGCTTCGGTTTCGAGCACTGGCAACAATACTGATAAGGGTTAAGCACTGAAAATAGTGATTAGCGTTAAGCACTGATTATGGTGATAAGGGTTAAGCACTAACTCCAAACAGTTATCTTCTATTTAGGCATTTTTTTATGTATTATAAGAAACACAAATAACCGCGAAATTTCGATCGAGAAGATGCAATTGGCCATGTTTGTACCAATTCATTTTGGGGCTCGCTCAAACTGGGCCCGTGTTTTAATCAGAGAGTTCACGTGATGCAACCTAATCATTACGCGTTATTTGTACTTACATTGTACATCGATATGAGCGTTAGAAATTTCAGTTGCATTCAGAAGATTTTTTGCCATGCAAGTGTACGTTCCAGAGGCATTCCGCCATGCTTTCAACATCAGGTTTTCTCCAGTGCCGATAGTTATTCCATCTTTTATCCATAATATTTTTGGAATTGGATTACCAATGGCTGCACAGTGCAATTTCACCTCCTCATTTTCAAGGACTGTCTGATTGGACGGCCGTGAGATTATCTTTGGTGGAACTATAAACAAACAAAATAGGAATTCAATGAAAGTGGTATCAACCATCCCTATTTAAAATTTTTGCCTGTCCCATATCCTTCGTATCAGGCGATCGGAAGGAGACCTAAGTCACGTGCGCAAGAGGAAACGGGCGCGCGAGGGAGACACGCGTGTTGCATTGCGTGTCTCCTTCGTGCAACCCGTTTTTTTCTCGAAGCACCTGCCTGCTAGACAGTCTACCTTGCTCAATGCGTTTTTCCAGAGCATTAAAATTAATACTTACATTGTACGTCGAGACTGGTACTTGCATTAACTGTTGAATTTAAGCCATTTTCAGCAGTGCACCAGTATTCCCCAGACTGATTTCTAGAGGTGTTGAAAGTCAGTACATTTCCTGAGGATACAGTCTTGCCATCCTTGATCCAAGTTATTCTGGCGGGTGGGTTTCCTGTGGCATTACAGTGGAATGTTACTGAGGCACCTTCCATTATGGTCTCGTCTTTAGGTGCTGATATTATGGTCGGTGGAACTGGAACAAATAGATTCATGAGAAAAATGATAGAGGTCAGCATTCTCGTTTTCTAGTATGCTTGGATACAAAGAGATCATTTAGCATTGGTTAGATACAACGCATGATATTTTCGTTACAGTCAAGCCAGGTAAAGCGTACCCCCCAAGATCCCATTAATGAATTTATTATTCAAAAGTTGAATCCGTTGGTAGTTGTAGATTTCAGATTCATCTCTGCATTCTTGCATGCGTAATGAGCCGTGAATTCACACGCGAGGCAGTTACGAAATTTCTACCCGCTCAGTTTCCCTGAAATTGATGTAAATATCTTCTAAGAAATATAATCTATTCAAAGATTTTCAATCTGACATAATACAGAGAAGTTCTCGTTAGATATTCACTGCTCATTACGCATGCAGAAATGCCGATTTGAATTTGACAAAAGATACGGGAACCACTAACGGATTCATTTTTCAAATAATCAATTCATTATTAGAATCTTGGGGGGTACGCTTGACCTGCTTTGACTGTAACACCATTTTAGGCCAAAAGTGACGTCATCTGTCCAACAACCATCGAAATGACTGGAAGGTTTGACATTGCTACCATTTCATATTTTTCCTCCGGCCTTACGTATTTCACGACTTGCACTCGTTCGAGTTCCTCCTGAATGTTAGTCAAGTTGTGCCAGGAAATTAGGCTTATCCCCTTTCCCCGTATCATCGATTCAAGAAACTATGTTCGCGTATGAATGTGTCAAAAAAGGGTGCTCTGGTTACTGCACGAATACGGCCACCGCTGATCCCTCTTCGCTGGGGACAAACGGGCTACATGCATTTAATGACCCATACAATTCTACTTACACTGGACATCAAGTTGAGCACTAATATTGACGCTGATGCCCAAACCATTTTGCACAGAACACCAGTACTTTCCCGAAAGTTCTCGCGAGGCTTGCAAGCTCAACTCCTGCCCTTGATCAACAGTCCTCCCATCTTTAATCCACACTATTTCTAAAGGAGGGTTGCCAGCTGCATCGCAATGAAATGTTACTGTCTCGCCTTCAATGACTGTCTGATCCGTTGGTTCTGAGGTGAAACTTGGTGGAACTACGAGAGCAAATAAATCAATAAATTTATAAGTAACGCACAATTTTAAAAAAGTCCAAGTTAAATAGTGCTGTGAAAACCCGAGGGAAGGGGGTTGGGGTAATCGACGTGAGCCGCTGAGGGTTTGAAACCCTGACACACTCTGGGACTAAAAAATTCAAGATACATACCCTGTTTAGGTCAACAACACCATCAATTTTATTACCTTGTTTTGGACAAACAGCAAAATGCACGCAGTCTTGTTTTAAAGCCTTTTATTGGCAATTACAATAGAGCAAATACACGTAATAGTCAATGCTTTTGTACACTGGAGTACCAACAAACTTCATCAAGCAAATCAAATCAATCATATGCAGCAGACAATACCCTGATTGTAATTAAGACGGATTCACACGAAATTATACACCTGGTTATATACACGCAGGAAATTTTACACCTGTTTAGGACAGACTAGCACGAAATCATATACCCTGTTTAGGACAGAGAGGACAAAAACCATACCCTGTCCAGCGGTACATCGCCGTATAGGCCATATAAGGGAGTAACCTCCTCCCCCCCATCCCCCCACCTTTCCCGGGAAGAATTATTTTTAGAACAGGCTTTCCAGGGAAAATAATTTGTTTTACTAATCGTGTCCTGGTAATAAATGTTGCACTACTTACACTGAACATCGAGAAAGGCACTCGCATTGATAGTTAAATTTCTACCACTGTCTGCTGTGCACTTGTATTCTCCAGACTGATTTCTANCCCCCCCATCCCCCCACCTTTCCCGGGAAGAATTATTTTTAGAACAGGCTTTCCAGGGAAAATAATTTGTTTTACTAATCGTGTCCTGGTAATAAATGTTGCACTACTTACACTGAACATCGAGAAAGGCACTCGCATTGATAGTTAAATTTCTACCACTGTCTGCTGTGCACTTGTATTGTCCAGACTGATTTCTATAAGCCACAAATATCAGCGTGTTTCCCTCTCCTAGTATCTTGTCGTCCTTGGTCCATGTTATCTTTGGTGTTGGGTCTCCTGTGGCATTGCAGTGGAATGTTACAGTAGTATTCTCGATGACTATTTGGTTAGAAGGTCTTGTGGTGAAGCTTGTTTCAACTGAAAAGTAATAAAATAATGATGTAAATGATAACGTTACTGCAGGAGCCCATCACTATGATAACTATAACGATAACGATATCTATAACCCAAATCTCGCAAAACAATTTTCGCCTCATCTAATCCAGAATTCGGGAAATTTTTGCTTTTCGAATCCGGAATCCGGGAAAATTTTACTCTTAGAATCCGGAATTCTGGGCTTTGGAATCTGGAAAACAGCTCAAGGAATCCGGAATCCACGAACGATTGGAATCAAGAATCCAAGCTCCACTGACAAAGACTAGAATCCAGTACCTGGCCTCCGGAATCCACAGCGTGGAATCCAGGATCCAAGACTGTCTTGGATTCCTTTACACAGGGCGACAATCCGATCACGACACACAGACAAGTGCCCTGCTAGCTTGCTGAGAACTTAATACATCCACCTATAATATAACTATTTTTATATACACTTATCCTTTATTTGCAGAAATTCAAGGCTTACTATACCTACTACAGCTGTGATGCTCAATACCCACACTGAGGCAAACAAAACCCACATTCTGAAGGTGCACTTTTTCTACTGAAGAAAAGAAAAAAACAGGTGACGTAAGCATGATAAGATTGTAGATTTCGCCTTATGTAAGAGAATCCAAGTTAGTCTTGGTACGTTATCAAACTCCCCTGGTTAGTTTTTATTCGTTGTAGTGGCAGGCTGAAGACGACTTCTCGCAGTTAGGTGAACAACCGTTACTTATGAAGGTTTTAAAAAGACTGAACGAGAAATACAACTCATCTTTTTGATTAGCCCTATAAACAGAGTCAAATTAATTGACCCTTATATTTCTCAATATTTCATTGTACGTTGGCGTTTTTTAATCGAGACTGCGAGGCTAGAGAACTGATAAAAAAAATAAAAATAAATAAATAAATAAAAACAGCGCCGTGTGCCGAGTTTAAGCACCAATTCTAGAATAGGCAATCTTTCTTGAAGTGCCAAAAGAAAATATGCCCCCCGGCGCTGAATCGAACGACGGAATGTTCAAAGGAAGGAGCTACTTCGGGTAAACATCAACAGACGCGTAAAAATAAATATGTGCATGACGATTCCAATTGATCTTCCACGCCAATTCTATTTCGTAGAAATGAAAAAATCAAAATGGCGGTTAATTTAGGATGCTAGATAACTTAACCTTTAAAGTCCTTAAAATTGGAAACTTATTAATCTTTTAAATCCAAATAGGGGATATTTCTTATAACAAAAACACACTCTATCATTACCAAGGCGCTTTAACTTCAAGAGACAGTCTGAAAACTCACAATTTCACAGCTAGATAAATGTTTATGCAACCCTCGGATGGTAACCGGCGATAAAATAACATTTAGACGCTTCGCCGTTGGAAAAACCTAATTGGCTTAGCAGCATTTACTGGGTCTAATAAACATTAAGTTATAACCTTGTCTTTTGTTAGCTTAACAAAAACCAATTACTTACTGTATTTATGAAATGCACTACTGTCCCGATATTGCTGACTTGTAGACGACTAGCTACTGATACTATTCCTTAAATGTAAGCTCCTTTTCAGATTCTGATTTATCATGAGGCCACGCGACAAAAAGAACCAACAAAAGGGGTATTAATTCAAAAATTATATTGTTCGCTGAAATGGTTAAAATAACAGGAAACGTACTTAATGTAGTTGGATTAGAAGAGGGATAAAAAAGGGGCGACAATGATTATAAAATCTGTAAAATCTTTTCCTAAAAGGCTCCACACTACGATAGTGTTTTGCGGCCACCAAATGTTTTGTATCAGTCAGTAGCTTTATATCACTAATTCCGAAAGATATCCTGATTTTAAAAAGATTTCCTTTGAAGAAAATCGGATAAATGTCCAAAAACCAAAGTTTATATGTTGAATGACCGTATCTTCCTATCCTAGTCACGAGCACTATATTGAAATACTTGACAAGGGGCCTTCGGACAATAAAATGGGTTGTCCACTGCTGAGAAGGAAGTTACATATCACAAAAAGAAAAAAAGACGAAGAAAAAAAGACAGAAAAACAGCTTTGTGACAAACACAAACAAAGTATCCCAGGCAAGCATTACAGATGAATTTTGTTAAACCGGGATTATGCCGGCTTAAACGTATTCCTTGACCGCAATGATTTTTTTTCGTTTTTGTAGGTTTGTTTTAGTGTTTGTTATTACTGTCTAAGTGTTTACACCGTTTTTAGCGGTTGTTTTTATTTTTTGTTGAATTAGTGGCGTTATATTGTTTTCACTGTCTGAATTTTCTGAATTTGGCCAAATTTCGTGACGTAGCTTCTAACAAAAACTCCGATTTGGAACACAGCCTTCCGAGTGGGGAAACGACCACTTCCTTTTAGAACCCCCTGCAGTCCATAAAAATGACTTATTTTATTTTAGCAAGACAGGATAAAGGTCTTGATTTTAGTCGGAAGTGTTAGAATGCTGCCTTGTTATGGGGTGGGGGACCCCAGGTTGGTAAGGTAACCCGCTTAGGTGGGATGACCCGCCTGTCCATATTATCACTTGTTTTGATTTGATCACGTTTACATGATCGGTGGGATGAGGGTCTCAATGGGGTTAACCGATAGGCGTAAAACGGCCAAAAATTTAGTCGATAGCCGTAAAAATTCAAAAATTTTAACCGTTAGCCGTAAATAGGGTAAAAAAGAGTTAACCGTAAAAGAAATTGTTACCTAGATTGGCTACTTTTAAGGAAGGTGCTAAACTTACTTATGGTTGCGTTTTTTACTTCCCGGCTAGTGTGACTCCGTACGCACGTTAGGCAAAGCGCCTTGTAGGTGTTAACCAAGACCTAGGCACACACTAGAGCTAGAAATTGATCATCCGTCTGAGACTAGCCTGTGTACAGTCGCGCCGTCCCCACAGACACCCCTTCTCCGATTTTTCTGCGGGGGAGGGGGCGGCTGTACACAGGCTATCTGGAGCGGATAATCCCGTCTTCAAAAGTCAGGCAGATTGTTCATTCAAAATTAAAACTATTCCATTTTCAGATTAAGACGTATTACCTATCTGACGCGAATCAACAAACGGATAACCAGTCTCACACGAATAATCCTTCTCTAGTGTGAAAACGGCCATTTCTGTTATAATGAATGTCGCGCCCCGGCCTTGAGTTGGGCGTTTGCGTGTCTGCTTTTGCTTTTTCACGAAGATTATTTTTAAATTGACTATTGACATTTCTATGTGTAAAATAATATTAGAAGTGGAATACTTCATAAAAAGTATTCAACCTTTTGATATATAAAATGTTAAAATTTTTCAAAAGAATAGCTTACTTCATCCCGAGATGATCCGAAGACCTTTATTTGATTTAAAGATATAAACTAGGGTATCTAAAAGATAGTAATGCTGCGGCACATTCTGTTGATACTGGCATTAGTTAGGCAGTGAGACTTAAAAGAATCAAAAATGACATTGAATGTCCTATTTACATGTTGGAAAGTACTAGAATAATTACTATCAGCCTATAGAAAGAACTCGTGGGAACGTTGTTTAGAAAATGATCAAGTGGTTATCAACTCTGGTTTCCCACAGTAAATTGTAGGAAATAATAGAAATTCAGATCGTTTATCCATATATTTAATATACGGTGCACGATATTTTCTCTGGAAACACAATACTTTTCTTGCTGTTTGTTGCACTTTATTAAGTAACAGTTATTTAGCTATATATTTATAGAAAACAACAACACAAAAACCGGGAAAAAAAAGAAAGAAGGAATAAATAACTCAGTAGAATTCGAACCCGGCACCTTCGACTCGACGCGACTACACTTAACCACTACACCACAGAGACTGATTACGTAGACTTTAGGAAAAGTCTTTCATTTTATTCCTTTTCCATGAAACTTCCGCCGGCAAGATGATCGCCAACCGCATTAACCGAGCTATTAACAGTGAAAAAACAATGTAAACGCATATTCCATGGCAATAAATGAATGAAAGAACATAATTATGCTTTTCAAAACGCCGATACACGTCCTCGTCTGCAAAGTAGGACACAAAACATATGTTTTGTTATCTCGATTTCCGCTGTTATTTTGAAGCGAATGGTCAAAATCACATCCATTTTCGGCTCATACAGTTTCTTAAGAATAGCATTGCATGACATTTTCTCACTTTCACATCACCTTCTAGCAAGCTGGAATTTGTATATCCCCCGTGTTGCGGAGTCGAAGAGCAAAAAAGGCTCTTGAGTCAAAAAAGGCTCTTGAATTGAAATCCAATCCCCAAGTTAACCATCGTACTCATCTGAAAGACTCCTGCGTGTCTTAAAATTTGGTAAGACTTCTAACCGTGCTGTAGAAAATTTGCCACAAAGAAAACTCTAAGTCTGAGCAGCGAACGATGCACTCTCTCACCCACCGAACTTCCCCCTGTTTTTATTTGAGTTGTTCGTGGCGCAATGCACTCTGGTTAAATGCAATGCATTGTGGTAAAAAGTGTGGTTAAATGCAATGCATTGTGGTAAAAAGTGATGAATTCGAGAATTCGTCGCCCCTTATATATTTCCTTTAAATCCTGATTATGTTGCTGCTCGCTCCCTTCGGTCGCTCCGCAGCAAAAATACGGGGTAATTAATATTTAACTTTTTGAAACAAAAGAAGTTAATTTTTAACTTTTTCGTTAACCGTAACTGAAAAAAATTAACCGATAGCCGTAAAAGAGCCAAAATTTTAGCCGATAACCGTAAAAGCCACCACCCCATTGGGACCCTCTGGGATGACCCACCGTGGGTTATCTCACCTATCTGGGGTCCCCCACCATCATGTAAACAGGCTAAACAAGTCTATTCTTCGGGCCGACTATTTAACCGTGCGGCCCACATAAGCAAAACAACACGACTCTACGCGTGCAGCACACTTTTTGTGTACATTTCTTTTGTGTTCACTGCACGACTACAACGTGAAACCCCTTCACGGTTTTATCATGGAGGGCGCAAGCACACCATAGCGATTTTTTCTTTTTCATGTTTCTCCTTCTGAACTTGAGTTCTGTCTCCAAGAAATTATTTCAAAGCTCCCCAGTCTTTTCCCGCGCCCGAATCTCTACTGGCCTCCTATTGGTCAAGAACTGATTTAGTCAGGCTTAGTCTCTTCTCGGTTGGGAACGCCTGGGGGATATTTTGTCAAAATGGCGGCCATCGAAGATAGAGTATACAAAGCGTCTGCTGTTTACTTGACTTGTATCTTCCCACTATTGTACCCTTTTCGTTCCGAAAGGGAGGTTAAAAAAACAGGCAAAATGAAAGACGATGTGGATTTTGACGCCTGGGCAGGAAATTGGAAAATCAAATGAACAAAGCATAGGGTAAGTAGCGTTTAAGAAAATTTGCACTCTTGACTTTCAAAGCATTAATTTTGTCTCTTTCAATTGACTATTAAAATGAGTCGAAGTAGTTAAATCAAACCAGAATTCAGGGTTTTGATGACAGTAAAGGCCTACCAACAGAGTTTAAAAGAAGCCAATCTTTTGCCAAAAGTTAATTAATATACAGTACAAACACC